CTAAATGTTATTATAGGTTATAAAATGCTGTCTTTAAAATATTAAACATAACTTTATTTGGATTTGTAACATTAGGAAACATCCCCATTTGCGGTAAACGTTCAGAAATTCTCTAACCCTTAATAACCTAGAGTTTAAATTTTGATACCAATCTTTTAAACCGAATGTTTACATTACAATTAGTTTTTTTTTATTGGTTGGCTGTACGTATTTTACTATTGCATAATATGTTTTTCAACGAAATAAAAAAAAAAGACAAATGTCATTATTGCTTTATTTTATCTATGACATGACTTGCGCGGCAAAGTGAACAAGTAAACCCATTTTACTAAAAGTTTTGTTGAATACAAATTTGATATATTTTCTTTTTCTGAAGAATATAAATACTTTTGAGGTAAGTGAATATATTATTTTTGCTAAGATATAATTAGTTTTTGCGAGTTCATGTTTTACTTGAAGAAACTAGTGCTATTTTTGTGAGTATCAATTTTGATACTTCAGGCATTCCGCCCTACATAAAACTTACCTACTAATTCTTTTGCTGTAAAAACTTTTAGAACTTCAGTTCATTATTTTTCTGCATGGCTTGGTGTTGATGCTGATTTTATTTTTATTTCATTATAGAAATTTATCCAAAATGCGACCGGAAGAGATTGAGAGCATATTGAAGCGGTTAGAAAATGGTGAAATTTCGGAAGACGATTCCACTGACAATGAAGATGACATAGACTATTATTTGATCCAAAGAGATCGTCTGATGGAGCTAGAAGATGAAGAAGATGTAGGCAACTTTCCCACTGAACCAGACTTGGATGCGGATTCGCCTGTAACAAACGTAGATACCGACATGCAACATAATTTAGAGACTGTTGAACGAAGCCCAACTCCTACAACTAGCAGCCAGAATAACCTGCAAACTGCACCCTTCAACTCTAGAAACTTAGTGTGGAGAGTAAAGAATATGGACATAGTCCAAGACGCTTTCCAGTTTGCTGGAAACACTGAGTATTCACAAGAAATTATGAACTTAGACACTCCTTTTCAGTTGTTTTCTTATTTTTTCGGTGAAGAAATTTTGAAATTTCTAGTGGACGAGTCAAATAAATATGCCTTCCAAAAGAATCCCAACTTTACCGAACCTGTAACTATCCTAGAATTACGTAAATTTATTGGAATTCTTATTTTTACTAGTGTATATCACTATCCTAGTGTCAGGTCATACTGGTCAAACATTACAAAGTTTGAACCCATATCACAAACAATGAATCGTAACAGATTTGATAAAATTAGACAAATTTTTCACATGAATGACGACTCAAAACATTTGCCCATTGATCATCCCCAGCACGACCGACTGCATAAAGTGTAGTAAAGACCAGTGATAGACTATTTGAATAAGAAATTTATTACCGTACCATTTGAGCATCGTCTATCACTAGACGAGCAAATGTGTGCAACAAAAATCAAACATTTTATGAAACAATACTTACCCAACAAGCCCCATAAGTGGGGATTCAAATTATATGTTTTATGCTCTCTGTCTGGGTATGCCTACAGTTTTGAGATTTACTCAGGAGCTAAGGACATAGACCGTTTACCTGACGAACCAGACCTCGGAGCTGTATCGAATACAGTTATTCGATTGTTACGACCAGTACCAAGGCACGTCAATCATATAACTTATTTTGACAATTTTTATACGAATATTCCTCTGCTACATTACTTGACCAACGAAGGTATTTATTGTCTTGGAACAGTACAGAGAAACAGGCTCGGAAAGTCGTGCAAGTTGCCGGAGAAACGGGAAATTATGAAGTCTAACGTACCCAGAGGAACATATCACGAAAATGTGGCCTCTCACGAAGGCAAAGAATTCTCGGCCACAAGTTGGAAAGACAATAAACAAGTATTATTACTTTCCACGTATGTTGGCGCTGAACCAGCGGATACTATAACCCGCTATGAAAAAAAACTAAAGGCTTAATGTTCAAGTATCATGTCCTCGGGTCATAAAAGAATATAATACACACATGGGCGGTGTTGATTTGATGGATAGCTTCATTGGTCGATATCGCATCCGCATAAAGTCAAGAAAGTGGACAACGAGGCTCTTCTACCACTTGCTAGACATGACTGTCATCAATGCCTGGGTACTTTACAACAAGGTAAACACAGTGAAAGGAAAACTTCCGAAGAATATTATGAAGTTAGAAGATTTTAGAACTGAGCTTGCCGATACTTTATGTAGATATCAAAGTGATTCGAAAAATAAAAGGGGAAGACCCAGTGCAAACAGTCGACAAGATACTACAGTACCTTCTAAAAGACCCCGGACAGGTGTACAAGTACTACCCTCTACTGACGTGCGTTGCGATTCTATTTGTCATGAAAAAATATTTATGGATTCTAGAAATAAGTGCAAATTTAATAATTGTAGGAAACTTACGTCTTGGTTCTGTAAAAAGTGTAAAGTGTCGTTATGCGATAATAAAATTAACCAATGTTTCGCATTATTTCATGCATAGGTAGGATACCTTTTTACAGAACCAAGAGGTAAGTTTCCTACAATTATTAAATTTGCAACTGATGTCATTATGGCCTTAATGCCTGAAGTATCAAAATTGATACCTGTTTCTTTTTTTAAATAAATATGTAAAATGAAGATTTTGATTTTTTTAGCTATTTTTCCCTTCATTTAGATCCTCAAGCAAACACAGTAATATTAAAAAAAAAACTTTCGTGAATCAGGCTATTTAAGGGCTAATCTCGTAAGAGCTACAAGTCAGATTTCTCATCCCTTTTCATAGAAAAGTACTGTAAATATATCTACGCACGTATTTGCATCATAATGTTAGTTTGATTTTATTTTAAAAAGACTGCTACATAATTTCATGGTTAAATTGATAGTAAATTGTACTTGTATTTAAATTCGAGACAAAAATACTTAAATAAATGATTCGATTTTAAAAAATAACTTTTTGTTTCTTTAGTTAGTAGGTATAACTCTCCTAATATATTACAAATAAATAATATAAAAAATAAAGTATTGAAACAGATAAAAATCTGTTCCAATTTTATGCCAAGCCGAGGTAATAATTAGGAAAAACTAAAAAAAAAAAACATTTATATGTCCATCCAATTAACTCGAGTTCAACCCGAATAATTTGGATTTTAACTCGAGTTACGTTTATCCCGAGTTGGCACATCACTAGTTACGTTGCTGTATAAGCTGTTAAGTGATTTATTAACTAGAAGACGCTTACCAGTACCCCCAATATATCAGCTGTTAGTAACATTGAGATTCTACGTTACTGGTAGTTTTCAGGTACTTACTGGTGTAACGCGCCCGTACCGCGCCTCTCGCACCCCTCTCTCCCTTGAGATCACGCTACTCAACTCGCCCCTCCTACCAGGAGATCAGGCCACGTTCTTAGCCCCTCTTCTGTACAACACGCCACCAGCGCTGCCGCGTTCCTGCTCCTCGCCTCTTGCACCCCGTGCCCTGCTCGAGACATCCCCGTGTCGCGCTTCCCGTGCCCCGCGCCTCATACCACAATCGGCGCAACCGCACCGGACAGCTAGTCGGACCCCGTCTGCTCTCGCGCAAAAACATCATTATGCCCTCATAATCTTCCGTTGGCTCGTTTTCACATATTTTTTTGTAACTTTTGTTGTGTAATGTTAACATCAGTATTAAATTTTTCAAGATTCCCTATTTAAAAGAAAATTTGAGCAAGCTACTCTAGATGGAATACTTCTAGGTGGTGAAAAGAAATAAATGACATTGTATTTCTAGCTTTAACAACAGATTTGTGGACGTCCGAGGTTAACGATGCTTACATTGCCGTCACGGGCTCACGGGGCACCATATAACAAAAGATCTCATACTTAAAACATTTTTACTAAAATGTGCAGAGTTTAAAGATACGCACAGCAGCGCGAATATTCAAGCTGCATTGCTCGAATAAAATTTTATTGTTACTGACAACGCAGCTAATGTGAAATAAGCCATTACTGATATAGGGTGGGAGCATTACGGATGCTACGGCCACACGTTGAACTAATACAAGATGCCCTGAAACTAGTCCAAGCTGCTTTGGACAAAGTTAAAACTCTCGTCCGACATTTTAAAACAAGCACTGCAGCGCTAGAGGAATTATTAAAAGCACAAACACAAGAAAATCCGGACGTGACACCAAAGCGCTTGGTACAAGAAGTACCAACCCGGTGGAACTCTGTATTTGCCATGTTAATGCGATTTGTGTAACTTGAAAACCAAATGTGTGCCACTGTGGCAATACTTAAAAAAGATTTACCGATATTAATTATCGATGAATGCATAATGTTTAATGCACTCTGTACAGTTTTAAAACGTCCTCTTTAAATGCCTGTAGCTGGCTAGCTAGAAGTCACATGTCTTGAGCAATTCCTCAAAAGGGGTCACATTCAAGTTTGCTCCAAAGCGCGATGGCCCATACGTAGTCAGTAAGAAGACAAGTCTATACGTATTGCGTCGCATTTCCTGATAAGCCTGATGAGATTGTATTGAAAATGTTAGTTGTTTAACTAGTAGTGGGGGCACTTGTCCTAGTCTAAAGGGGGAGTATGTAGGAGTCCTGCATATACGATACGCTGTCTCTTTCGCACGGATACTCTCTCAGCTCAGCTATTAATCGGGCCACTGATATAAGTTTCTTTGATGTTGACAGGGTTAAAAACAAAGGTCCAACAAAACGGTCGGAGAACTTCAAAAACAACATAGGTAAACCTAAGAATCAAAGAGATGCTCAAGATGTAGTCCCCAGCACTACAGCAACACCTATAAGAGACGAGCCCTTGTATGATATTGGGCCTCATTCCTTCTTGCTGGCAGTTCAAGACACATACTGTCAAAATTTTGAATACTCTGGATTTATTCCATTAGTTAACCAGACGTACGAAAAACTCCAAGGTGTGGATCCCCGCCTCCTTGACCGTATGCCATTAAGTATGTGTTGCGGCCGTAACGTCATGCGCTAAACCACTAATTAAACTAGACCGGCAGGCCAATCCCGGCATCGATGACGGGGTATATAAGACGATGACAAGTGTTTTCTCGCTCTCTTTCGCTTCCGTTATTTACCCGATGTCGACATTCTCGTTCCTTCATCTTGTAATTGTAAAGTGGCAGAAATCAACCGATTCTACGTAAAGAAAGTTTTATTCAAACCAACACATCGAACATTGGTCCTTTGCTCCAAACACTGGCCCAGCAAGGAAGACTGGTAAAAAGCGCATTCAGAAGACGAGGTAAGCCAACCATCCGCCATATTCCCCGACCGCATGGTAACATTTACGTTAATATTGTGCCTCGGTGATTTCAGTGATTTGGTGTATGCAAGTTGCCGCGGTGACCGAAACCAGCAGTACAGTGTGCCGCAGCCAGCACCGTCTGTACCTGACCACGCGTCGGGTCCGCCTCTTACAGTGAGTACTCCACACAATGGCAACTAAATTGGGTGTAGAATTAAACGCGGAAGTAGCTTCTTTATCACGCGTTAGGTCTCCGTAACAAAGTACGGAAGGTTTGACCTTGAATCATCTTATACGTAAACGTGGTATTTAAAAAGGTAATTTCAGTAAATTTCATAATTATTTGCTCACATTATGCGCCGACAATTTAACAAACGTGCAAATAATCGACATCAACTTAAGAATCCAAAACACGGTCACTTTATTTTCCAAATTTAACGTAATTCAGTCGCAAACCGAAGATTCGGTTGCTAACGTAAATCTAGATGAGCAGCTAGAACATCGCGAACTATTCGAAAGTAATTATTTTAAAACGCTCGCGTTAGCGCAAAGCATATGTATAAACAATGCGATCAACAATGAGAATAAGTCCGAAGTTACCTACTATTATCATGCCCACCTTCAGTGGCGAATACGACCAGTGGCTGGAGTTCTGCGATCATATCGCTAGTTCATAATTCACATGAGATCAGTAACATCCAAAAATATCACTATCTTAAATCAAAGGTAGTGCGGAATTAGTAATAGATTAGCTAGAATTCTCCAGCAACAATTACCCGATTGCTTGGGAACTACTATTAAATCGATACGATAATCATAGGTTATTAATATTCAACCACGTGACATCTTTATTCAGTTTAAAGTCTATTTCAAACGAGTAGTCTAGTTTAATTAGGAATTTAATTGACACGGAACCCACAGACTCCTGGGATACCCTTATTACATACTTAGTTGCGTCGAGGTTAGATTAAACGAGTGGGAGCAATACAAAATTAATTTATTTGCGGACAACGCCGACACGCGACCCGTTAAGCTAGATAACTTGCTTAAATTCCTACGACATGCTTGACACGTTGTCAGTTTCGAACAAATAAAATATTACGCGAAGTAAGTCAAAGGATTACTGCAACGTGTCAAGCGACAAGCTCTCGAGAATATACAGTTAAAAATTGTCTCGCTTGCAACGCGAATCATCCGTTATTTGTGCGAAAAAATTATCAACTTAGACATCATCATTACAAGACATGTAAGAAATGTAACAAAAAACATAACATAAACATAGTTGGGTTACAAATGACGAAAAACGGTTAATAACAGACGTAATTATCGAGACATGATAATCAAAAGTTACGATTCAATTACCTTAAAAAAATTACACCAATACCGTGAAGAAAATCGGTGTATATATACCGATGACAGCTAAATCTTAACCAATCATGTGCAAAACAAAGGATGGGGTACCAAAGTTGGACCACCATTAAAGAATTACCTATCTAAGGAGAAAGGATAATCATTGAACTTACTGGTGCAGAACAAGGGTTCATACCTAACGGACTATTGACATACAAAGCAAGTAGCGTTTCTGGTGATTACCACTCTAACATGAATGCAGAAAACAATAGTGTCTGAAAGAACGTCTGGTACCAAATCTTCCACCGATATTCGTAACCCAAGGTATGTCACGGATTTTAAATTGCATATTTAGCTTCTAAATGTATTTACATACATGTCTACTTATCTAATTGTATTTTAACACTTCTAGGAAAATACCCTGCCCTTGTCTTTGAAAATTAAAAGACTAGTTTCCCATATATTGAAGCTCGGATGCAGGATTTCCTCCAGAAAGAAATTTGCGGAAAAACTAGGATTGAAGCACAATTTTAATAATGAAACTAAAATGGCTGGACCACAATGGTTGAAAAGCTTCCTTGAAAGAGGGCTTACCAATTCAAAGAGCGAAGGGTCTAAGTAGGGCCGAGGTAGCCAAATTTTTTGATTTGCTCATAACCGTCTTGACTGACAATGACTTGCTAGATAAGTCGGAGCGAATTTTCAATATACCTGGCAAAGTATTGGCCAAAAAAGGGACTAAAACAGTGGAATCACTTACTTCCGGTGAAAAAGGCGAAACAATTACAGTTGTTGTTTGTTGCAACGCTATTGGCAAATTTCCTCCCACCTGTTCTGATTATCAAGGGGGTAAATAAAAAGCCTGAATTTGAAGGATTTCCACCTGGTTCAAAAGTTTATATGCCAAAGAAATTAGCATATATTTGCTCAGAACTTTTTTAAAAGTGGCTGACCGAACATTTTATACCCCGTGTTCGAACCAAAGACAATTACGTCAAAATCCAGCGTTTTTTACTCTGTGACAATGCTGACAGTCCAATCGACAGCGTCGCTTCCGGGCTCTCTTTGGTCCCGACCTCAACACGAAGCGGAGCGAGTTCAACAAGTCTTTGTCATTGTTTGTTTTAATTAAAGTTATTTTAGTCATCGAGTTTTATTATAACTTTTCAAAACACAATGAACACCCCGCAAGCCTCCAGGAAAGGTATTACTAATTTTAAATGGTCATTCATCTCATTCCAGTGCTGTCAATATGCTAGAAACTTCTCGTGACAATGATGACAGTTCTAAATAATAAAATGGCTTCGGTGACAAAATTACAGCAAGATAATGAATCCCTGCATTCATCTATAAAAGATTTGTCCCTTAGACTAGGTTCTATGGAACAGATAACCCGAAAGATAGAAATAAATGGTAATTAAAAAAGGAGCAAACACAAGCAAAAACGAAGAGGAACTTCAACATAAGTGACATTATTTACGATGTTACTAAGGTCGCATGTTCACTAGTTAAAAAAACCTCTGATTATCATTAAAGTCGACAAGAAAATGTCATTACGCAAGTATTTAACGGAAAAATTAAAAACAGAAATGAATTATATAAACACGTTTTTTATACTAAAGACAGAAAAGCTCTGCGTCTGGAATAACCACCTCAGGTAATCCTAACCTAGCGTTAGATAATTTTGATCGATTTGTTGTCACACGTCCAGAAAACATATTTAATATTGTTTACATTTGTAACAAGACCAAGAACACGAAAACATTGGAATCTTGGAGCATTAGGAAACGTGAGAAAAAATAAAATCTCCAAGTCATAGGTTCATTGCGAAATTCAACCTCTTTGGCCGACAAGTGTGAACAAAACCAATGAGGCTGCATACTGGCCACCGAGACATTTACATAGTTTGTTAAACATAAGATGTAAGAGAAATAAGCACACAAGAAAAAGGATGTGATAGACATAGTTTTCAGTCCATAATAAGAAACTGTTACGTGAATAAATGTAAACAAGTTAAACTGTCAGTAACAAGTTAAACAATATGAGCTACAAAAATAATAATTACTCGGTCTAAAACATTATTTCTTTTAGTGTATTCTCCAGTTTAAAATGCATGGACTTTAATTGCTTTTTTAGTATGTGAAATACAAGCAAACAGCCACCAAAATGCACTAAAATAGTGAAGTGACCACTGCCCAGACATATCCACAATACCAAACTTTATAACATATAGTGGAAAAGTACCTGGTAACTTAATTAAGAGAAGGCACTGTTTCTTGTAACACAGGTTCCCACCACAGGAGGCAGAGTCCTCAAATATTGTAAAATTTGGTGGAACAATAAAGCATTTTTAATTTTCAGTGGAAGCGCTGCAATAATGAGGCATAGTCATGCCTAGGTAGAGGAAATATCCTCATATTCCCATCCACTACCACCTCCATTTATCCTTTGTATAAAAATCAAATAGTAAAATTCCACTTCTCATCTTCAACTTGTAAAGAATTTAGTAACTTTTGCAAAAAGCAGTTCATATCTTTGTTCACCTAAGTGTGACTGCCATTATTCTTTGCCACAATGCAAACACAAAATTTAAAAAATTACATTCTGATGTATCCATTAATGAAAACCTAGAAATATATCCATTTAAGAGAACTCTTCAATAAGAGACAAGTACAACTGACAATAATTATGATGGTAGTTTAAAAAATAATTCAAGTTGTCTCCCAAAACCGCTTGAACACAAAATAGCAAGATAGTGAGTTTCATAAACAACCCTATGTTTTTTTTAAGTGTAACAAACGGCCACATTCTTTTGCTAAAATAGCGAAGTGACCGCTTCTCATAGACATTAATATCAATGCTTTTCCCATTCTAAACAGACAGAGGATATTTAAGGTTTTTTCCCCTTTCTCATAAAAAGGTAAGAGGACCATAACTCGGACTTTAGACATCTAAACACATCGAAACGAAACGCAGAAATACCATAATATACTGGGAAAGACCACCGCTACACGCCTGTCATGCGTATAAGCGGTTTTAACTTTACCAGACAAGTAGACCGTTTCGCACTTTTAGAGAGTACATGTTGAGAAACATTCAACAAACTACTCATTTACAGTAAAAACTTCTACAAAAATTATGACGTCACCGAAATTGTTGCTTAAAACCAAGCCATTTCCAAGCCTTACACCGTACAAAATATCGTTTCCTGCTCACTACGGTAATAAGACAATTGATAATATTCTGCACATTTAGAATTTAGAAATGATGATTTTCCTCTGATTTTTTGAGCGAGCAATCGGCAACTTGAGTCCATTTCTGCATTTGTGTCAGTGTTGCCAATTAAATTTTCTACCCAGCCGTGTACATTGTATAAAAAAATCCGTGTTTGTGTGGGTAAATATTATCGGTGGGTCGTAGCACAAGTAAAAAAGGAATTAACATTGCCTAAGTGTTAAAAATTGTCCTTGTTTTGTTATATAAAATCGTTATGTATTTAAAGCTATTTGAAAAATAATTTATTAAAGAAAAACAATGAATTATTGTGAATTTCCAATAAGCGGTAGATTTTAGATATACACAGATAGTGATCCGAAAGCCACAGAACACGGCAATTGACGTAGCATTGGCAACACTGATTTGCATTTGACATTGCTAAAACCAAGAAGTATGTGTGGAATCTATGGAAGATTTCTTTTTCGAAACTCGAATCCATTACTCCATTACATAAATACTGAAAGAATTTTTATTCTTGGTCATTTTATTACTAAACGTCAAGAACTTTTAAATAAGGTTTTTACTTGTTTTAAGATTACTAGAAAGGTAATACATGAAAATATTAACTAAAAGCAATGTAATAAAAGTGTTGTGACGTAATAGTCCACATATCCGGTCAGTCGTCACTTCTATGCTTATAAAAAGAACTTGATTGGTTCTCTGTTATCAAAACTCAAAAAGCGATTAAACCTCTCTATAACTTTGGAAAAGCACATAAAAACTGTTGTAAATATTGTTAAACCATAACAATACAAAGTTGTGTGAGAAAACATAATGTCCGTTAATTTTGAAAACATAAAAACCAACGTTCCTTTGTAAAAATTTTTACTTCTACCTCGATAATTGGCATTCTATGAGGACGTTTTGACTTATTTTTATAACTTATTATCTCGCACAGCCGAATTATAAAAAACACTGTCCAAAGGGGCATTTCCTTACTTAAACTTGGGGCGTTTCTTAAAAGGGAGCAACGCATCTGCGGTTTTCATGGCGTTGCGGATGTCTATGAGAGTGGGATAAAATAGGCGAAGTTTGTCCGCTGTACGTTTGACTCCATCCCATACAAAAAATCTTGATGAATTAGGAATAATAGATAGGAAATTAAACAAAGTATGTTTATTGGCTACTTTTTTATATTAACATTGCGAGGACGAAGTCGCAGGAAGCAGCTAGTTACAAATATAAAAGTTGTTTCTGTCCACTTCCACAGTACATTATTAGGAGCCTAGTTGATCACCACGCCGCCCGGTTCCCCCTTTTATTATAAAAAAATGTGTTAAACATAAAACTTTAGTAAATGCGTCAACATTAATAAATAAAAAATAAAAGTTTCTTGTAATCTATACATATATAAAAAAGGTACGATTTTTTATACATGTTTTGAAATAACTCAAAAACTACTGGCAGCCAAAAGCGAATCGTCAACGACCGAGCTCTTACCGATCGGCTAGATCCTCTGGCCTTGCGGAGGGACGTCAGTTCCCTCTGCATTTTTTACCGTATTTACCACGGGGAGTGCTCCGAGGAGTTGTTTGGAACGATTCCTGCCGCCGAGTTTCGTCATCGGACGACACGACAGACCGCCAGGTACCATCCTCACCATGTTGATGGCTGGCATTCCACAACCGTGCGGTTTTCGCGGAACTTTTTGCCCCGCACAGCCGCGTTGTGGAACGGTCTGTCCTCGGCGGTATTTCCAAACCAATACGACTTAGGGTCCTTCAAGAAGCGAGCCTACAATTTCCTCAAAGGCCGGCAACGCATCTGTAGTTCCTCTGGTGTTGCGGATGTCCATGGGCGTCGTTGACCACCTTTGTGTTCCCGCCGCTCGTTTGCCCCCTTCTCTTATAAAAAAAAAAGCGACGTTATCAGTGAGTACAATAGTCTATGTTTTTTATTATTTTTTAAAATAAATAAAAACAATTATGATTGAAAACTTCCAAGTTTTATTGTGCAAATTAATTTAAATGAGACATTGATTTATTAATAGAAACATAAACAACAGAAATCTTTTGAAATATTCCTTCAGCTGATATAAATTACTTATTGCCTGTCCCACCAAATTGTAAATTGTCTGATAACAATCCAACATGTAAAATATTTGATGGAAATATCGTATTTTGTTCCCTTATCTGACAGTAACGTCATTACATATCTGAGTTTATCAGCCAGTGGTGGGACAGGTCCTTAGTTAAATAGACAACACATAATATTAAACAATTAACAGACCAAAATTCAACAATCCTTGTACAGTTTGTAACAGTAAAGGCTGGATGCCAATAACTGGCACACACATGCTAATTCCTTAACCCTTAATTCGCTAGTGTCCAGTGAAAAACAACTAATTAAAAAAATAGTACTTATTTATTGCATATCCAAAAATACGACTTTATAAAAAAACTTATTTTTTTGCCTAAAAAAACTCCATCGAATTAAGGGATAAACACGCCAGCTAAAGCCTACATGTATATACACTAACTGGCATGCATATTACTGTGTTACTGGCATATATCCCTGCATTAAGATCTGTAGACCTACTTCTCTTCCATTTTAGATCCCAGCAAGAAATGCAAACACAATTTTAACATATCCATAATTATTCCAACAAAAACATTATCAATAATTTTAAATCTTCAGCAGAAGATATAGAAACGATATTTTTATTCCAACAATAGATTTATTTTGTAAACAAACTTTTAAAATAATTTGTGAGAGTTTCCTTTTCACATAAAACTACTGAAACACTAAAATATGTAGAAAATGCCATAACAATATCACTCCCATCTCATTATTTGCTCAAAATCAAAGGACAATTTTGATTTGAGGAAATAAAGTTAGCGTGAATTGTCTATACTCTATACAATCCAAATGTTAAACCATAGACAAACACTACAGATATTTCTCTAAAAAGTTTAATTCACTTAGATTTGTACCATTGAGTTGTAGCTTTATGAAATGTCAAAGCATTACTAAATACCACCATATACGAGTAGCGGCAGTGGTAGAGAAGGTAAGGAGTAAAGTTAGCATGGGGGCTTGTTATGGAGGAATCGCATGTTACAAGAACATTAGTTATGAGTACACCGGTAGAGGTAGACATAGAAAGAGATGTATTGTGTGAACGGTGACAAGAAGAGAGTGACTGAGATGATTTATGATAGGGTTATGGAGGACAAAAACCTGTAGTCCTACGGGAGTAAGATGACTAACCATAATGTACAATTTGTAAGCCAGCCGTGAAATTGCAGAAAGTATTATGGGTAAATTAAGTTGATCTTAAGCCAGGTAATTTAATCAGAAGCAAACTGTGAGCAACGGATTATTTATCGCACACAAACACATACAACCTTACAAATAAACATAAGTTAAACTTAGGAATAAACTGAGTATGTCCAAATTTTACTTTTACTCAGTTTATTCTGCATTTGTAAGGCTGATTTTGCAATTTACAAACAAAACAGTTTTCAACTATATAACATTAGCTATCTATATTTTTAAAATCACTTAAATTTATCTAAACGCAATTCACAGAATAACGAATAAATTGAAATAGCAGACTCAATGTAAAGTGCAGTTGGGGAAATCTGCAGTGTTTCTTTACAGAAATGCCTCGTTTCTTCGAACAAGACAAACTTTTCCTCTTGCTTGTACCTTATTTGGTACAGACATAATTAATGACTGCATCTTTATTTATAACCATATCTCATAAAATATGAAATGATTTTATTTTTTTAAGTGGAATACTGTCAAATTCCCCAATTGTACATCTGTTTGATTAATTTTAAATGAAAAGATAGGAGAGTAAATGATATTTGTTGCCTTATATTTAATAAGTCTTGAATTGACATAAACTGTAGCTACGTTGTTCGATTGCCACACTACACTTGTAGTCCGCACTTCACTGAACACACTCGTCTTGTATCAAATTACTTCAGGATTGTAAAGTCTTCTCTTCTTGGGGCGGTGTCTAAGGCGTCCCGCAGAGTCTCGCCTGTCGGAGCCCTGTGTGGCGGAGCCCCGCGTGTCGGAGCGCGGTGGACCCGGGGTGCGCGGGCGCAGCCCCCGCCGCGTCTCGTCCGACGACTCCTCCACGTCGTCGAATCTATGCCGCAGTTCGGAGTAGCGTTTGCTAAGTCTAGTTCTCTCTGAAAGAAAATAATTATTTGTATTAAATAGATTTGTCAGTCAAAATAAAAAGAAATCGTACAGATATCTATATATATACTATTTTTGTATGTAATGAATTAACTGAAAAACTACTGGGCCGATTTAAAAAAATCTTTCACCATTAAAAAGCTACGTTATAAGTGAATAACATAGGATATGTTTTGTTTATCAATTTTTAATTTCACGTGAGCAAAGTTGCGAGCAACAGCTAGTAGCTAGTAGATATGAACCAAGAACGCATAATTGTCACAGTTTTAACCGACTATCGGTATACATAAAAAAAACACAAAAACCTCACAAGCTTTTATTTAAAAACAAAATGGCAACTATGCCGTTAGAAACCAAAACAGAATCAGTCTTAAGTCAGATTGGTTTTCCGATAGAAAATAATACGAATAAAAAACAATGGTTAATTTCGGAACTTGACACACACAAATAGTGGCGTGAGAGAGTTCTTTACCTCTGACTGTGTGTATCGCGTGGAGGGCATCTTCTGTGTGTGTGGAGCTGGCGGCGGGCTCGGGGCTGCCGGAGCTGGAGGAGCTCGCTCTGGGCCTGCGCCGGGCCGCCCGCGGGGGACTGTCCAAATTCCTGGACAAAGCCCTGGACGAGCACGAGGAACTGGTCGAGGTTGAAGATACGGACCTAGTTGTGCGATTCGCTGAATGCAGTGCACTAGCCCGAACAGGCCGCTTTGCCACACGTGGTGCACTGGTCCGAGCCGTGCCATTTGCCAAGAGCGGTGCGCTGGTCCGAGCTGTGCGCTTTGCCACACGCGACTGACTTCCCTTGGCCTTGCGGGGGGGACTGGCTGATGTTGAAGAGTTTGCCCGAGCTGTTCGCCTCTCCGAACCCGGTGCACTGGCCCGAGCTGCGCGTTTTGCCACACGCGACGGTCTGCCCTTAGCCTTGCGGGGGGGACTGGCTGATGTTGAAGAACTCGCCCGAGCCGCGCGCTTTTCCACACGCGACCGACTTTCCTTGGCCTTGGCCGGGGGACTGGCTGATGTTGAAGAGTTTGCCCGAGCCCTGCGCTTCCCCGAACCCGGTGCACTAGTCCCTGCTGTGCGCTTTGCCACACGCGACGGACTGCTCTTGGCCTTGCGCTGGGGACTGGGTGACGAAGAGTTCGCCCGAGCAGTGCGCTTCCCCGCACGCTGCGGACTGGCTTTAGCTGCGCGCCGGGGAATTTGTAAATTGTTTGCCGTAGCTGAGCGCTTTCCTGAAGCCGGACTAACCCTAGCTTTGCGATCCGTCAAACGAGGAGGATTGGCCCTAGCCGTGCGCTTCTCTACACGCGGCGGACTCGGCTTACCGGAGCGCGGTGGCGAAGGCGAAGGCGAGGGCGAGGGCGGGGGCGAAGGCCTGTGTGGAGGCAGGAGGCGCGCCCGGTGCGGCGCCCACGCGCTGCGCACGCGTGGCATCGCAAACATCGAGTTATTTCCAGTTTTCTGCTTGTTACGCTTCTGCTTTATTTCACCTGTACATTAAAACTGAAGCTTTATACAGTTTCCAAAAATATATTAAGAGTAATTGTGTGATTTACTGTGTAGTCATTATTTCTTTTAGTTCAACAATAAAAAAAGTCATTGTGGCGTTTTGTGTATTTATACTTTCTACTGAAGGAAGCACAAAATATGACTAAAGGCATTATTGTCTTAGTGTGTGTGCAATCGAACAAATGTTAGTTTTTTTATTAGGCGATCCGCTACACATTTGACCACTTCTATAAAAAAAGCTTTCGATATTTGTAGTATATATTTTTTGGTAATGAATAAGTAATAGTGTATGCATAGTATGTGTCACCACTAGTGGTCGGCAAACTTATTAGCCAAAGAGTCAAATGTGAACATTTAAAAAATTCAAATAAGAATAATTGGGAGCCAAATCTGTTTGTTTAGAAAACTTTTATTACCCGAAATAAGCAATGCTAACATTTTGGTAAGTTTGAGTAAGTTAGAGTGACACTTAAGGAGTGAAGCCTCATGTAGGTCTAGAACTGCACTTTGCCGACCACTGGTGTAAGTGTGTGGCATTGTGGCATTGCGGCAGTACGGGCGTGTGGCGATGTGGCGATGTGGCGACCTGTGGCGGCGGCGGCGCGCAGGGCGGCGGCGAGGGCGGAGGGAGCGATGTGCGCCAGCGAGGGCAGGATGTGGCGCAGGTAGCGGTTGCGCAGAGAGTGCCACGTCCGCGCTAACACAAACAATATATTTGTGACATTTATAAATTATGACATCTGTACTAATATTATAACGAGGAAATATTTTTATTTTTGTATGTATTGGAATAACTAAGAAACCACGGGGCCGATTAAAAAAAAATCCACCAGTAAAAAGTATTATCAGTGAGTAGCATAGGGTATATTTTTTTATCATTTTTTAATTACACGCGGACGAAGTCGCGGGCAACAGCTCGTTTATAATAGTAATGAGATAAGATGTGTGGTACTGACAGACGCCGGTGTGCGCGGCGTGGTGCGGCGGCAGGTCGCGCCACAGCCTGTTGCCGTTGACGAGGCGCGCGCGGTCTCCGCGCTGCACCCATGATATGATAGCCTGGTCCTCCAGCGGGGAGTACACGGTTCTCCCACCACCCCCCACCTCCACTACCCTGGTACCAGCTGCCTGCGTGCCAAGTATCCTGGTGCCAATTGTCCGACTTGGTGCTTTAGTGCCATCCCGTGCACCGGTGACAATTTCCTTTTCAGGTGACGTGAGTGGCGAAGAACTAGATTCATGTAACCCGTTCACTTGTGGACTGTTGAATGTTGTATAGTTCTCATAAATAACACTGCGTTGGGGCTATAACCTACTGTTAATCTCAAAAAGGACCATAAATAAGGTAAAGATTTTTTTTGATAGTACCGAAATATAAGAATCTCTATGGTCATAGATTTTGAGTGGAAAATATATACATGCAAACATTTTAGTTTACTTTAGTGATGGGACTCGAGTGATTTTTTTTCACTCGAGTCACTCGGTACTCGTAACTTTCTCACTCGAATGCCACTCGAGTGAAGATAAGACTCGAGTGATGTTTATAGACGCGAGTCACTCGGAATATAAAAATCAAGGAACCAAAATTTTAAAACCAATAAAACAATGTTAATTTAACATAAAGAAATTATTTTCGCATTAACGTAAAAGTTACTCAAAAAATCTGTACAAAATGTGTAAAAATAGTGTTTTCCTTTAAACTAAACCTGTCTACACAATCAAGAAACCTCTTATATCATCTATTAGTTGAAATTTTATAGTGTACTATAAATAAGTTCTAATCCATTTTAATAAATTCTTACAAGTAATTTTCATGAGATCCAAATATGGACAATTTGATTATGTTCTTACACAATTTTGATAATAAAATTAACTTAAACAAAGCTTAAATAAACTCTACAAAAGAACAGAAATAGTGTGTTTTTAAAAAGATAACAAATTTAACTGAAAATGCTGTAATCGTTTCTTACTCCGCTTAGTATAAACCAACAAAATGGTTACTAGTCATTCGTAATTCGAGTCAACTCGAGTCACTCGCAACTCGGGTTGTCAAAAATTTCACTCGAGTCCGAGTAAGAAAAAAATGACTCGAGTCACTCGAGTAAAAAACAACTCGAGTCCCATCACTAGTTTACTTGGCAATACCAGCAATTTCGTCTTCCGTTAATGTCTAACATAATAATTATAAAGGAGAAATTTGTATATATTGAAATAACTCATTAACTATTGGGCAGATTTTAAAAATTCTTTCACCACAAGAAAGGTAATTAATCTATGAATAACATATATATTTTAAATACGGGTATTTCGACATACATTGCTTTTAATTAACTAACAAGACATATTATGTTTGTAAAGTAGAAACAAATTGTTTTTTAAGATAAATATTATAAGAATTTTATAACAAGAAGTGAGTTACTCACCTGAAACGTGAAGTACACGACTGCTGGGGCTCTCGGAAGTCACTGTCGCTGTTGCTACTCAATAATACCACTTTTCTCTTCTGCGGACTGATCTGCTTCTCTTTCACAGAAGACTTATATTTCTTTAACATGGAATCTTTTAAGCCTTTACTATGCTGTGAACTCCGAGTGTTCTCTGATTCATTTTCCTTATTATCTTGAATGGATTGTGTTGATGTACTCTCACTTCTCTGTCTCTTATTGGTTCGTTTTAACGACTGCAGACCAAGACTACTCATAAAATCATTCTCTGACACTTCAGTTCTGCTTTGAAGCATCCTCTTTATCTGAGGACACTGTTCTACCACAACCAGGGGATTGATTTTGTAAAACACTTGCTCCTTGTACGCATCATCGATGTCATATCGCTTTGGATCTACACCCAAGTTGTTCTTTTTCAAATATCTACGTAAAATCTCTACAACTTCCTCTTCTATTAATAATTCTTTTACTTCTTGTCTACGCTTTTTAGTTTTATCTGTTGATTCTTGTTTATCTGATTTTTCACTATCTAATTCTTTGGTTCTGCTACTTCCTCTTAGTTCTCTGCCAGCTTTATCTATTTTTTTATTTACTTTGTTTGACTTGGATTTAATAAATCTGCCATTTCTTCTTAATGGTAATATTTTGTTTGCATTGTTATGTTGTAGAGACATCATTGTGTCAGATACTTGGTTGGCAGCGTCCACAGTTGTGTTACATTGTATGCCCACACTGCTGGTCTCCTTCAATACCTTGTATCTATCATCATTGCATCTGAAATAGCACAAGTATTTTGGATTAGCTTCCTTGCTTGCAGAATATGAAATCTTCTTTTCTTTAGAGAAGGCAAACAGGCAGCAGAAATACCAATACCAGAAGAACTACAGATGATGGACCTTAAGTCATAAAAAAACCTGATTATAATTTAATCTTTCAAAATCAAAAAGTTAGTTTTAAACTTCTGGCAGAGGAAATTCAACACAAATGGTAAAATAGTTTTAGTATTGGCACACAAGGAGAGGTTTGCACAGCTGACAGCCAACCTCCAGCAATTCGGAAGGTAATTTAGTACAAAAACTGATCAACAGACCTGTTCGTCTTCCATTGTACTGGACTTTTGGACCGAAATTCTATACTCGGTGCTGGAGTTGATACATATTCTCTGAAATACAACATTTTAATTTATTACAACTAGCAATAAGATGTTTTAAATTAAAGACAAGGGATTAAATTCAGAATGTGTACATTAGAGGAAGTTTGAAAGCATCACCAGTGGTTGAGAAATTGAGAAGCAAAATGTTAGCATTGTATGGACATATCATGCAAGATGTTGAGGACATGAATAAGAAAGTATTGAGATGATTGTGAATAGCTTTAAAGGAAGAAACCAAAGAAAGTATGGAAAGGAGTGCATTCAGATATGATGGCTGATAAAGATGGCAACATCTCAAGTGGAATAATAAATTCACATTGCCTTAAATCACTGATTGTATAGCAGTTATTTGATTAAAACAAACCTCAAAACAATGTTAGCTTTGGCGGCAGAGGGGCTGTCGGCGGCTAGCGAGCGGAGCGCGCGTAGCACACGCCGTCGCCGCGCCACCTCCAGCCGCCCGCCGCGCACGTACACGAAGCCCGCGGGGCCCCAGCCTGACACGCACCCGGTCTTCAAATCTATCTCCCGCCAACGACCGCCGCCGTGAATGTAAAACTTTGAACTCATCTTAAACACCTGAAATAACACTATGAAAGACTACACAAACAACATCTTGTAGTCATTTAAATACACAGTACTCTGTATTTTATGTTAAAAATAGTGTAATACAATTCCCGCTCAATTGCCTGTTGTTGAAACGCTTTTTTTACTTTATTATGCACTTGACGCGGCGACGTTGACATATGTCAATGTCATAACGTTCGTTTCTGACAAATAAAAACACAGATACAAATACGCAGAGTTCATAAATCTCAGAATTCAATCTTGATTCTTTAAAAAAATGTACTTTAATTTAACCAAATTGAAGTTTAATTAAATATTATACGAAAATAGTCGACTTTCTAGTTGTAGTAATAATAAAAATTACATTACTATAGTGTTGATTGAAATCCATTCGAAGTTATTTGGCTTGGCAATTATAATTATTACTATCATTCTGTCACATTATCGGAAGTGACAAATTGTGATAAATAAACAAACAATTAACTTATAAGAAAACAGCCACGCGGATTTTTTTAATAATTTTTAAGCTTAAAAGTAATAAATGCCCTGTAGTCGTCAAACTTTGTCCTTAAAATATAGTTAAAATCGAAGATTGAAGAAGAGATCCAGACTCAAAGGTTCACTTACTAGTAAAATAATACGTAAGTATTGATAAGTCATTGTCGCCGGTTTTTGTTTTTATTTTACTAAAAGTTAAATAAAATAATTAAATAGTAGGTCCAATTAACATACATACACGTGTCATATATAAATATATTTCTGTTTGAGCAAAAAATATCGTATAAGTGAATGTTCCGCTCCACATCCGCCGGTCTGTCGCTATCAGTTACACTTAGGTTTCGAACATAACATTGTTATATTAATAAACTGATTCCCAAAGTGGTCAATGACCCCCTGGGGTCCACAGGAGACCTCTGGGGGTCTACAAAAGTGTAATCTGATTTCTAACACTCAAGGCTTGCTTTAGGTGTACCAAAATCTACATTTGATTTTTCTATAATCAATAAACTTTTATTTTATTTCAATTATTTAAATATCTTACTCCCCCCCCCCCGCTCCAAGAACTTAACTGAGGCTCCACCATCTACCAAACTTTAACACTTAAATGTACGATTTTTTTAAAATACCATAAATTGGAACAGGTAGTAAATTGAACATAGATTAAGGGGAAAAAATGGTTTTTCAAAATAATCTATTGGGTAAGGAAGAAAAGACTGATGTATAAATGCATGATGCATTTAAGTGTTCATAAGAAAAAGTTTGAGAACATCTGAACATAACAATGTATACTAAAGCAGTAACACTCCTACACAAGTCACGTATGCTTTATGAGTAAGCACAGTCTACAGTACACTTATATACTTAAATGTATATGTTATCAGTTATAAATAGAATTTTAGTGTGTACATGCAGCACTCCAGTGCTGAATGTTGCACGGTCAACACTAACAAGGAATTGATACAATTTTATTTGAAATGTTTTTATATGATTGGTGATTTTAGGAATATATGTGTGAGTAAATATTGTTATATGTTTTTTTGTTAAGTATAAGTTAAGGAGAACAATTAATAATCATACTAATAATTCATGTAAAATATGTTATATGTAAAAATAAGATATATAAATAATCATACTAATATTATAAATGCGAAAGTTTATATGGATGGATGTTAGAGTTTGTAGCCTAAACGGCTGAACGGATCTGGATGAAATTTGGCATAGATGTAGTGCAGAGTATGGAAGAACACATAGGCTACTACTTTTGTTTTTTTTTAATACCACGCGGATGGAGTCGCGGGCGAAAGCTAGTAATATTATAAATACGAAAGTTTAGATGGATGTTTGTTAGATTTTGTAGCCTAAACTGCTGAACGGATTTCGATGAAATTTATTACAGATGTAGAGGATAGTCTGGAAGAACACATAGGCTACACACTTTTGAATTTTTTTATCCCACGCGAATGGATTCACGGGCGAAAGCTGATATCTAAATATATCTATAAATAGTTATGTTTGAAATTTAGCTGAATTGTCCTGTCAATAAGTAACTCTTTAATATGTTAGAGTAGAAATTTTACTAATGTTTTAAATGCGAATGTTTAAATGGATGTTTATTATTATATATTTGTTTATCTTGTTACCAACAGGGTGGCAGCCAAAAATAGAAAGTTTTATTTACAGAAAACAACTTTATTTTAAAGTTTAAATTTTTACAATAAATAACAAATATCTGTTGATCACATCCTGCCTTTTATACACTTACTTTTCTTTTGTTTTTAATATATCTTTTTTTTAAACCATATAAAGGTCTCGGTGGTCAGTATGCAACCTCTTTGGTTGTATAAACACTTGTCAGCGAAGAGGTTGTATTTTGCACTGAACAGTATTACCAACTAAACAGATCTCAATGATATTTGGTAGTAATGTAGAATATAGTCTGGAAGAACACAGGATACTAAAGTTTTTTTTTAATTCACATTATTAAAGTTAGGAGGTAAATAAATTGGAATAAACATGTAGGAAAGGGACAGAAAGTACAGTTATAGTCATTTGTGCATTTGAATATTGACATTTGTAATTGAAAGTTGTACAAATTAAATTAAATAGTTTTATAATATGAAGCGAACATGGCCACACGGGTACAGCTTATATAAGACACAAGAATTTATGCCTATAGCTAAGCCTATAAGCCTATAATAAGATAAGTCTTATCTATACTGATATATGAAGAGAAAGGATTTGTATTTTTGTATATATTGAAATAACTCAATAACTACTGGGCCGATTTTAAAAATTTCAGTGTTAGAAAGGTAAATTATCAATGAGTAACATAGGCTTCTAACAGTGGTAGTGCCCACTTTAACATCTCAACACTGAAGGCTGGCACGTCCCCAGTAATACCACGACCACACAGAAGACAGCTTTGAAATTTTTTTTTTTTTTTTTTT